CCCCAAAACCCCAAAACCCCAAAACCCCGTTTGACTTAATACTGAGTTGATGATGAATATGATTAAAATATATTAAGAAATATGAGTTCTTCAATTGAATTCGGCGGTCATATTCGACCAAACAACTTTATCCTAGGCACAAATAATCTCTAGTATCCATAGGAAAATAATGTCGATCAAGAAAATCCTCATAACCCAGAAAATCAAAACAGAGGCCTTATTAATGACAAATAGTTTGAGTTAGAGGAGAGAGTTGGATTTATAAGAAAGGTTTATGGAATTCTTTTCACTCAACTTGGCTTCACCTTCACTCTTTGTCTATATTGTAAAATAAGATTTTGCTTAACGATAATCTTAGCCTCCTACGACCCATATTTCGGAGCAGTTGTCAGACATCCCGCCAGTATGATTTTAGCCATTATTGGCCTTATTGGCTCTCTCTGTGCTATGCTAGTCTTTCAAATGACAAGAAAAGTTCCTTAAAATTATATCATGTTAGGATTATTTGTAGGTTTCTAATTTTATTCCAAATATTCTAACTCTTACACAATTCTTTATAGACCTTTTCACAAACCATTCTTGTGGCCTCCATTACTGCCTATTTGACTCCAAGGTCTGTAGTATTAAGTATCTTAGCCTTTGGATTCATTACTTTTATGCTATACTTAGGAGCTTTGCAGGTAAGTAAATTCCTTATACACCAAAAATACTGTCATTTTGTTAGAATCCCATTATTTGAATTTCAATTGTTTCTAACTTTTTATTTTAGATTAAGTCGTTTGAGAATTTTCTAGCCTCCTCTTTTCTCATGCTTTTTGTAGCATTGATTTTAGAAATATTATCAATAGTGTTCTTCTTCAGTGACTACAGTCAACCTATGATGCTTTTATATTCAGCAGCTGGAATCATCATTTATGGAACATATGTGATTATTGATATGTATCTAATCGCTAAAAGACTAGATGTTGAGGATTACATTCTTGGAGCCTTGACTTTATACGTTGATTTGATGTCATTGTTCATTCATATTTTAAGAATATTAGGATCCAAGAAATGAATTTAAAACTTAATAGATTAAGAGATGATTTAGAAATTGATTAAATTAATATTTGCTAATAATAAGCAAGTAGATCGAATAGTTTTAAATTTTAATATGTTACTGTGAAATTTATAAATATTTAAGTTTTAATATTAAACCGAACTCAGATGGAGTCCTCTCAAAAATATACCCATGATGACTTTGGACTTGATGAAGCCCACAACAAATTAGATAACGATGGAATAATTGATGAGAGACTCAAGAAACAGAGCTCATACACATACTGGGTGCAAAAGAATGTAGAGCAGTTTCCCTAGCACTAAAACAAGCAAGTTATAGCTCCTAGGAAAATAGAAGATCCAGATCTTATCAAGAAAATCAATGAGTAAAACTAGCTTAACAACACTGGTTCTGCCTGGAATACAGCTGGAACTTGGTAAGTTTAAATATAATAATAATCATGAGAGTCTAATGGTTGTATAGGGAAGATAAGAAACTTAAGATTGCTAATGTTAAGAAGGATTTCAAGAAACATTTAGTCGATGCTGCCTGGAAGTGTAAAAATGGAGAGTTATAAGCAATAGCTATTGAAGAGCTAACTGGAGAGGTATGACTAATTTCAACATATTAAGTGGATGTTTTTAGGGAAGTGTAATTCATAGCAGAGGAAAACGCAGGATAGGCTATGAATTAGAGATTAAGATTAAGTTTAGAGGGCTTGGCAAGTAGGAAGGATTAGAGTGCGCAGTCAAGTTTACAGAATTCTGTGATGACGGAAGCGACCCTGAGGCACAACTATTCGTAACAAAGGAAGAAGGCACAGACTAGGGCACGAAATTCAAAAAGGAATGGAATTCTCAAAGTGTGACAAATAAAGTGGTTGAGAAATGCAGAGAAATTCTCAATATCATTAGGGATGAAGCATGAGATTGATAGTCAAAGTGAGAAATAGCGTGTGTATGTTTGTCATGCATTAAGCGATATTAGAGTTGCTGATTGTAGGCTAATATATATATTAGGTTCAAATTTAACAAATTATCTCATAATTACTCATTCTTAGCCTATCAATTATCGTCTTCAGCAATTTCTATGGTTATAACGATTTTAAAGCATCTTCATTTTATGCAATACAACTTTTCTCATCAGTTTTAATTAAGAAATTTTGATAGCCATTAAAAGCCTTCAACAAAGCCATATTTTCTTAATACACTACACATAAAAACCTCAATTTTCAGCTTATTAGGATTAGTACCATTATGATCATTTCCATATGTCTTATCTCTTGTTAACCCAAGTTATTCTCTAAGCTCATTCTCATTTAAACAGTTAGACTTATCTTCTTTATTCCCCAAAATAGCTATAGGAATATGCTGCAATTTTTCCACTTCTCTTAATAAGTCAATTTCATGCTTGGCATCTTATATACGTTGGGCATCTGAAGCATCAATCATGAATATGATTCCATCAATAATATCAAAGTATTCTCTCCATTTCTTGCGAGAAATCTTATCTCCTCCAAGGTCTGTAATCAAATATGTGACATTATCAATCTTAACCTCGTCACTATTTGGGACCAAAGTAGGATGGATCTGTGCAAATCTATGTGTTAACAAGAAGTTTAGCATGGTACTCTTCCCGCTATTATCCAATCCAATCAGTAACACTCTAAATCGTGTAGGATAAAGCCATTCGTAGGCATCCTTAAAGAAGTTAATCGCAAACATTTGTCTGAGTTGTACTAATTTGGGATTAGTTTTAAGTTAACTATACAAATTAATAATTGAATTAATATCAACTTAATTATTATAAATTACAAAATGAAAAATTAAAAGAAGAAAGGAAATGCTGCGGCTGGGGTAGAAGATACTCAGACTACCTAAACAGAGGCTAGCACTACTTTCCAATATTCTCGTAAACCATATATTGCTATAATAGCTACTTTAAACTAAAATAATATATAGATAGGGGCGAGCCGAACAATAAAGACATACTGCTGAGTAAGTATGGCTCTGTCTCAGATGTAGACAAGTTTAAGTTGCTCTAGAACCAGCACATAGAAGACTATGATGATGACGAGGCATCAGATGACAATAATGTGCTAATCACAGAAGAGGATGGCTAGAAGAAAAAGAAAAGAAAAAGAAAGAAGAGAAATAAGAAGAACAAGAATAAGGAAGCTGCTGAAAACCATTTGCAATAAGAATAACAATAAAACCCCCTCAAACTCGATATCAATCGAAATGACTTGTAAGATATAATAGAAATCTTCTTAACAGAGAATATTAGATTTGCAGATAGTGATTAGAGTGAAGATGAAGGAATAGCTGATTATAAGATTGGAGGTTATCACCCAGTGCATGTGGGAGAAATTATGGTTGATAGATATGTGATTGTTTAAAAACTAGGATGGGGACATTTCTCTACTGTTTGGCTAGCTAGAGATTTGAAGTTTAATACATTTGTAGCGCTTAAAGTTCAGAAATCAGCCCAGCACTATTTAGAAGCTGCATACGACGAGGTTGAAATTCTTGATGTCATAGCTAGGAATACTGATAACCCCGAGTGGATTAAATCTATCTTGCATTATTACAAGAATGAGCCTGAGAAACTCATGAGTGGGCCAGTCAGTGATAATTGCCATAATGTTATGCTCCTAAATTCATTTATGTATGATGGGCCTAATGGCAGACACTTCATTATGGTTTTTGAAATACTAGGAGTTAATTTGCTAGAAATTATGAAGAGATACGACTATAAGGGCATCCCTATTCCATTAGTCAGAAGATTAGCAAAGCAAATTTTAATTGGTTTAGACTATTTACACAGAATTTGCAGGATTATTCATACAGATTTGAAACCAGAAAATGTGATAGTCAGTCTATCAAAACAAGAACTTGAAGAAATCATGAAAAGAGGTTCGCTTTCTACTGTCAATAAGACCATTAAGACTCATGATGTAGCTCAAAATAACTTCTTCTTGCCCAAATCCTTTATTTAGCAAAACCCATAACCTACTCTTCTTTAAAACGTTGACACCACAGGCATGACAAAATAATAGAAGAAAAAGCTAAAAAAGAAGATAAAGAAGAACTAAAATCATGACGGATGCCCAGCTACCAATGCTAACACAGATGAAATTGCCAACTAATATTAGGAAATTTAACATTAAGAAAACGCTCTGAGAGAAAGAGAGAACAAGCACAAGCAACTATTTGGGTCAAATAGCATCCTAGGTAAACTTGATGAAAATGAGATTGAAAGACCCCGCAGTCATTCATTGCCAAATAGACAATATAACCCAGATATAAATGATTATCAATTTGCTATAGATAGAGATTTCAATCAAGAGTTACAGCAGTATTTCCAATTGAAGAAAGAGATTCAAAAATTAAAGGTAATCCTTAGTTTAGCAATATATTTATTTAGATGAAAGAGCAACAATCAGAGACAGAATCTAAGCCAGAGTAAAGAGATAAGGTTCATGAACGCGGACCATTAATTGATGAGAATGTAAATGTTAAAATATGTGATCTTGGAAATGGCTGCTGGACACATTTCCATTTTACTCAAAGAATCTAAACACGCCAATATCGTAGCCCAGAGGTGATGCTAGGAATCGACTATGACACCTCAGCTGATTTATGGTCATTTGCTTGTATGGTATTTGAGCTTATTACAAGTGATTTCCTATTCGAACCAAGAAAAGGGCCTACCTATGGAAAGACTGATGATCATTTAGCTTAAATGATGGAATTATTGGGACCTATACCTCGCAAATTTGCTACTGCAGGCAAGCAGTTTGAAAAGTATTTCGGTTACAATGAATTCACTGGTCGTTTCACTTTTAAAAATATTCAAGGTCTCTAATACTACCCTCTAAAGAATTTATTGATTGAAAAGTACAGACTAAAGATTAATGAAGCTGAACAACTAGCTGATTTCCTTTTGAAAATCCTGAAATGGGATTTGAAAGATAGAGCAACTGCTTAGGAACTTTTGGATCATCCTTGGCTATCAATGGCAGATGATTATAATTATAAGATGAGTGACTTAGAGTACAAAAAGTACAAGTTGAAGTAGAGTATCGAGTCAGCAAATGAAGACTTCTTAAATCAAGAGGTCCGCACTAAGAAAAAGAGCAATATGCCAGATAATTTTGTTGGCTAGAGAAAGTTTGAATGCAATGTGAGTGAATTAGGAGATAGTGATTCAGATATTCATGGAGGGGATAGAGAAGACAATGTTACTCTGAATTCAGATGATGATTTGGACAAGAGTCTTAGTTTAGATGGAGATAGTGCCAGAAGAAAGCTAGAAGACGACGAATTCAACCTGAATATCTCATTCTGTGGAGGATATGTGCCCAATACTGACCTCACTAGAGTTGATAAAGGACAAGGAAACCCCTAATTCTCAGGACTCTAGATCAAAGTCTGAGAGTTCTAATAAAACGCCTAAACTTATAGTATTCGATCAATATAAATAAATCTGTGATTTTACAAAGTTTTCATACCTTCTTTCTACAATCTTCTCTAAGGGGTTTTGGGGTTTTGGGG